AGAAGAGTGAAGGATATGTGTAAGGACAAACGTGGCATCTTCTTCTGCTACTGGCTTAGTAGTTCTATATAAGAAATTCTGCCATTGATAAGCTTTGCTTGCTAGTTGCCATTTATATATATAAAGAAGCAATTTAAGTACGTAGCCTGCACATTTTAATATCATCTGTCATGTGTCCATCTCACATGCTGTTGTTTTTGGAATTAATATAAGTTGAGGGATTGAGAACTGAACGTGGATTGCTGGAGACATGCTTGTCTTAAAACATTTTTTAGTTAAAAAACTTAAAAACTGTTTTAAGAAATATTAAAAATTGTTTTAAGAAGCAGTAATAAAACCGTTCCAAATGAAACCTAAGAATCATCCTATTTTTGAAATTGTGAGCAATGAATTTGTATTATAAATTTTGATTCCCCTGACCGCTCAATAAAAAGCTGATATTCAAAAGATTTTAAAAAAAAAGTCTTCTATTTTATGCATTAATCATTAGATGAGCCAATGTTCAAGGAGATTGATAGATTGGCAATATGCAACCAAGCATTATAGATTCCCTAAAATACTTTCAAAGAACTTCTGAAGTTAAAGAAAGTTCTCCTCAAAACTCTTCTAGAGGAATTTGAAGCTCAATGTAAGGAGAAATTATTCTGTGTCGAGGCCGAATGCAGAACGCCGTATAACCTAAACTTTAATATTTACTAATATAATAATTTAGTTTAAGTTACATCAAAATATGTGCATGACAAGTTATATGCCACTTCAAAAAGGTAAAGGTTAGTGAAATTTTTTTATGTAATATAAAGATTTATGTGTTATTTAAATAAATATAAAAATTTAAGTCTTTGATATAAATACAAATAATTATTTGTTATATATATATATATATATATATCCTCTAGATTTAATTGAAAATTTTGATTTTATATTTCCCATAATAGAGAAAATAGAAGAAATATGAACATTTTATTTCATGGAAAATTATACGCGAAAGTTCCCGCTAAACAAAGATACCAACATTTTTTTTATTAAGAAGTTCTTATTTAAATTACATGCAATACGTTGATAAAATTTTGAATAAACAATAAAATACCTCATGAGCAAGCATAAGATGTTATTTGATCATGTATGTGACTCAAACTAGATAAGGCCTCTCAAATGACAAGATTTGACCAAACATCTGAATAAACAATAAAATATCTCAACTAATTAGTAAATCCTATAACCACCTTTGAACCACATTAAACAATTATTGATCTTCCTTGGATCATCATTAAACATTATTCTACAATGATTGATGTATTCAATGAGTCTTAATAATACATTTAACACTTAATTTAGTAATATTCAAACTAACATTGACGTTTTATAGTCTTGTTCAATCTTATTCGAGTCTTATTTTAACTCTTAATCAAAATTTTCTGAGCCATTCTTAAAAAATAATTTCTCGTGATTGATGAAGAGTTGAACATAGGGTCGAGCAAGTAATCGAATATGGTTCAAATAAACTTGAACAAGGCCATAATGTAGTAAAGTTGATTTAACTATTGTTAAATCGTATGTTGAAGATGTTACTAAGATTCATTGAATAAGTTGAACATTTACAAAAATTATAACAAACATTTCGATCGTGATTTAAAGTTTGTTTAGATAATTGGATGGAGATTTATGCTTCGTTTGTGACGGCTTTTTTATTGCTTCTTGAAACAGAGGTTTAGTACAAAAATTAAATCCGTTTTAAAAAACAATAAAAGGTTTTCCCAAACGAAACCTTAATCATCATTCTAGTAACAAATATGGTTAAAGGACGACTTTAACATAAAGAATAGTAGGTAAATTGAAGTCTATTAATAAAAAAATGTCGCATTGCTTCTGCCGCTTCGCTAGGGCTCTGCCCTAGCGCCTCTTCAGCGCGTTGCTGGGGTCCTGCCGTGCGTTGTTCGTGGCCTTGCCTTGGTGCTCGCCTCTTCGGTGTGTTCATTGAGCTGAGGGTGCCTCCGCTTCGCCAGCTTCCGAGGAAAGTTCTTGCTCGTGTTTTTTTTTTTTTGCTTTTTCTTTCTCTGCTTTTTGTGGTAATTTTTCAGTGATGTCGTCTTCCTTTAAACGTTCTAATCCGGGCTTTCTCGCTGGTAAGAAACATTCGAAATCTTTCAAAGAGGTTTTAGCTCCTTCGGCTGCCGTCAGTGAATTCCCTGACCTAAAAGTTACTACCCTAAGGGGGTTGCCAGTGCTATGGATTTCTGAAAGTGATGTGCTTCATCTATCTAAGCCTTTTGAATATGCGTTAGTTGGGAAGTTTCCTCTTCACCGGCCGGTGCTTGATGCCATTAGAAAAAAAAATTTTCAACATCAAACTTTCTGGCAAGTTCTCAGTCACTGTTTTGAATCCGAATAATGTTTTGATCAAGCTTGCCAATGATCTCAATTATGGGAGAATTTTTGCTCATAGATCCTACTTTGTGTTTGGGTGCTTTATGAAGATTTTAAAATGGGCCCCTTATCTCGACTTGCCGGAAGAATTCCCTATCGTCCCCGCGTGGCTTTCTTTCCCTGAACTTCGCCCCCACCTTTTCTCTCCGCGCATTCTCTTCGGCTTAGGTTCTATCTTTGGTCGGCCCATTCAATCAGATAATGCCACGGCGGTGGGTTCTCGTCCTTCTGTGGCGCGTATTCTTGTGGAAATGGATATTTCTAAATCTCACCCCGATTCAGTTTGGCTTGGTCCTGATAATTTGGGTTATATTCAAAAGGTTGTTATGGAAGGTTTTCCTAGTTTTTGTTCTCATTGCAAAGTGGTGGGTCATAAAAACTCTAATTGTGTTAAATTGCATCCTTTGTTGAGGAAGGTCGCAGCCCCTGTCCTGCCGGCTATTATGCCGGAAGTGGTTGTGCCTCAAGTTTTGAATGATGTTGCTAATGACAATGAGGGGTGTGGTAATCTGAGCTCTCGTGATGTTGACTTTCCTGTTTCGGTGGGGAAGCTGGTGGGCAATCTGGATCCTTCTCCAGGTGTTGCCTTGGTCGGTTCTGATCTTGTGGGGCCTTCTGATAATATGTTGTTTTCTTTGGATGAATTGGGTGGTGTTACCCAACTTGCTTCGGATGTGGCTGTTGATCCTAGTGAGGGTGATATAGTGGTAAGTGATAATGTGATTTTGCCCGTGGAGGTTAGTCAGAATGCTATACATTCGAATTCTTTGCTACCTATTTGTACGCCCTGTATGATAAATGAGGAAGTGGTTGAGCCCTTTTCTCTGAGTCCATTGGGGAAGGGCTGCGCGATTGCTGTTGCCTCTTTGGCCTGTTCTTATTTGCCGGATGTTGCCAGGGTGGTGCAGCAGCTTGATGTTTGGGAGGGTGATGAGAATCATGATTTTTGTGATGATGGTGCTGCTTCACCTTAGGGTGGTTTTTTCGGCCTGGTACTATGGTTACTTGGCCACTTTCTGATGGTGACGATCCTTTGTCTAGAAGTTTTGGTGATCCATTTTTTATTGTTCCTATAACTATTGTTCCTAGGGATGTAATGCGTTCTCACCTATCTAGGGATAGTGAGGTGTTACATGGTGATTGGCTACATGATGAAAATTCAGCCGATGATGAAAGTTTCAATGAGGATGATTCGGCTTCTCAGGATAATTTTGACTTGAGTAGCCTTCAAATTATTGATGCTGACTTTAGCAATAAGAGTGCAAAACGTAAGAAGCGGAAGTCCAAAAAGAAATGAGGCTGTATGTGTTTTCTTGCTGTGGTTCGTGCAGATTGTTTTGTCTCTCCAGATGTGCTGCTGCTCTCTTCTGTGTTTTTTATGTACCTTTGTTGGGTTGCCTTGTAGCTTTTCATTGGTTGTTTGGCTCTTCTGTTTATTGGTTGTTTTCTTATTTAGTAGGATAGTCTCTTTTGGGAAATATTGTATTTTTAGTTGAGCTTTCGATCCTTTAAAGACTTGTAACTGTTTATTTTTATCAATATGTAGCCCCCAGCGTGGGTTTTATCAAAAAAAAAAAAAAAAGTCTATTAGTCAAGGGAGGGTGTGAAGCCTATTTTCAACTCTAAGAAACAAACAAAAAACATCACCAACCTTCGAAGACGATAAGTAAGGAGAGATCGTCATTAGGAATATTTGTCATATGCCTAAGACTAATATGAATGCTTTGAAATTATTGAAAACAAAGAAAGCGATTGGAAGAAAAATGATAGAGGAGCTCTTACAATCAAATGGTTGCATAAATTTTTATGGAGGATTGTAACTCTTTGTTAAAAGGCAAGAGTAATTTAATGTACATAGAACGTTCAATTAAAATTTTCCAAGAAATAAAACAGGCATATTTCCTATTTTTTGTTATTATGGAGCAATATTAAGTCAAACTTTTTATTTAAATATATTTATATATAAATGTAAAATATTTGCCTGAAAATTACAAAAGTAATATATATAATTACTTTTAAATGTGAATAATGTAGAAGTTGTAATGTGAAAATAGCTGTCATTCTATTATTGTAAGAAAAAAAGTTATTTCTTCAAATAATATGTTTGAGCCAAAAGTGTGGATTTATTGCTCATCCTTAAGACTTTTTATTTAGTTTTTTTAATTAAAAGTAAAAAAAAAAGAAATTCATAATTTCTTATTTTGCTCAACTAGCTGTGATGGCATCTCCAATAGCTATGATGTTTTGACTCTTATTTTTAAGAAATTATTTTGTGCGGAGTCCGGGTGGGAAGAATCTTTCAGACATGTGAGTATATACACTATATGTATATTTGCACGTAGTATGTATCAAATTTTGATACACACTGAGTCTAAACTCATATATCTTGACTGTTCTTCTCGTCCGGACTTTGCATAGAATAATTTCTCCTTAATTTATGCCCTATTTATTTATCTAAATCTATTTTTTTAATTTATTTATTTATTTATGTCAACTCAGTATTTTGATTTTCGCCACATTTTTTTTACTTAGATATAATTGTTTTTTTATTTTATTTTATTTTACAGATGCAACGAGATTTTATGAATTCCCTCAAATTTCCCGGGGAAAAAAATGCACAGCCCTACCGTAAGCTATCTCAGCAGTGCGTCGCGGCGTTCTGAAAATTGTACGAGCTTCGATCTACCCTAAGTTTTGCGACTATGGTGGAACTTTGCCGCTTCTGTTCAACCTCTCTTCCTCGCTGCCGGAGTGACCTTAGATTGGTATGCAATGTCCGCCGTATGTCTTTTTCAGCCAACTACTGGATATACTGCTTTGGCGTCACGATTTCGTTTCTCAACGTTTTCGCTCGTGACATGCGCATCTCTTTTGATCAGTTTAATCTTATGGTTTTCACAAGGCGGAACGGATAATGATGCTATAACTACACCTCGAATTCCAGGTGTTGAATTTCAGTAAGAATTAGGGTTCAATCTCTTTCCGTCCTTCACTAGACCTTAAAGAAATATGAATGCTTAAAAGAAATGAGGAAAATTATAAGATTTTATATACTGCGTTCTTATCCTTTCGTTAAAATTCTTTTGATTGGTAATTTATCTTCATGCTTGTTACTTGAATTAACATTCTGAATTAGGAGTTTTTTTTTTTAACAAGTCTGTGGCCTAATCAGTAAATTTTGTGCTTATCTTTTGTTATAATGCATTTGGAACGTGAGGTTGGCAGGTGAAAGAAATAAGGTGGTTTAGTATAGTTAGACGAACAGAGAAGTGATCTATGGTTTTTACTAAAGGATGCAGGTTTAACATCCAATAGGAGTGACAAAAAATGAAGCCGATGGAGAAACTCAAAACACAAAGGACTGCATTAACTTTAAAGTAATGAACATAGGTTTCATCCTTTAGTGAAGGGGGAATCTGGAGACTCGCACAGACCAAAGTCCACGACCATACATGTTAAAGAAACAAACAGGAACAAAATGTATTTCTATATGTTAACATTAGATACATTTTAGTATATATAGAGACAAGTAGTAGTAGTTATGCTTGCGGTAATTATCTAGATCCTCTTTTTACTCAGTCATATTGGTTAACACCCCCTTGCAAACTGATGAGGTAGTGGGTGAAGTCAGTTTCATGGCAATGTGATGAAATCGAGCTATTAGTAAGGCTTTGGTAAAAATATCTGCAATTTGGTGGAAATGTGATGGACTTGGATTGTCTGGTTCTTGATGCACTCACGGTTGAAATGTCAATCTACTTCAATATGCTTGGTGCGAGCGTGGAAAACTGGATTGTTGGTCAAAGCAATAGATGACGTGCTGTCACAAAACAGTTTGGTTGGTTCAGGTTGCGAGCATCCGAGTTCTTGAAGTAGTTGACGCGTCCATATAATATCAGTTGTGACAACTGCTAGAGCTTGATATTTTGCCTCTGTAGATGATCTGGCAATTGTGCTATGCTTCTTGACACTCCAGGAAATAAGAGAAGACCCTTAAAAAGTGCAATGACCTGTTGTTGATTTCCGATCATACTGATCTCCAGCTCAGTCTGAATCTACATAATAGGTAAGAAGCAATGAGTTTTGAGATAATGGTAAACCAAGATTTATAGAGCCTTTGATGTATCGAAGTATGCGTTTAAGTGCCTCAAAATTGACATCATTCGGTTGATGCATGTATTGACCTGATTTGTTTACTGCATATATTATATCAGGTTGAGTTAATGTGAGGTATTGAAGAGATCCAACAAAGTTGACGATATAATAAAGAATCGGAAAACAAATTTAAAGAATCTGAAGTTTTATGAGACTCAGCTATTGTAGGAGTGGACACATGTTTACAGTTGAGCATTCCAGCGCGTTGCAAGATCGTTTGAGCATACTGACTTTGATGAAGAAGTAGAACTCCATTTGTTTGGACAGTCGTTATTCCCAGAAATTGAGACAAAGTGCCGAGGTGTCTCATGTTAAACCTTTTGTGAAGAACGCTAAGAAGTTGTTGTAGTGATTCAACGTTGTTAGCTGTCACTATAAGATCATCAACATATATAAAAAAATATATTTGTATATTAGATTTTTGATAAGTGAAGGATCTAAATTGCTTATGCGAAATCCTTGGTTATGCAAGAACTCGGTAAGCATAACAAATCATTGTCGCGGTGATTGCTTAAGATCGTAGAGAGTCTTATTTAGTTTGCAAATGTGATTGGGATGAATTTCATTAATAAAGCCCGGTGGTTGGCGCATGTAGACAGTTTCTTGTAACGAACCATATAGGAAAGCATTAGATATATCAAGTTGATGTATTGGCCAATTCTTATGTATGGCAAGGAGAATCAGTATACAGAATGTTGGTATTTTTGCAATAGGACTGAAAGTTTTGGTATAATCCAATCCGAATTCTTGCTTATATCCAAGAGCCACTAATCGAGCCTTATATATGGCAATTGTTACATCAGAGTTATATGTTGTTCGGAACATCCATTTGCACCCAAGAATATTTTTTATTTGGAGTGAACGAAATGAGATCCCAAGTTTCTTGAGATTGGAGAGCTTGGAATTCTTGTGACATGGCGGAGCACCAATGTTTGTGTTTGGATGCTTGAGTGTAAGAAGTTGGGTCTTGAGGAACAATTTGATGCGTGAGATTGAAGATGCATTTGGGTTTGAGAGTACCGGTTTGCGATCGGGTTATCATATGATGTTTGGGAAGGTTAGGACAGGTAAAACGAATTGATGGTGGAACGGTTGTATTGTTGGATGAGTTCTGTGAGTGTTGTTCTGAAGAGTGAGAGATGTTGTTGGGACTAGTGACAGAATGAGAAGGAGAAGGTTGAGTACTGGATATAGGAGAATTAGAATTATATGACAGAATTTTAGGTTGGGTTTTGATGATAGATGAGGGAATTAAGAGAAGAGGTGGTAGTTTAATGTGTGGAGATGGATGAGTAATCGGAATTTGTTTTTGATAATAAGGAAAGACTTGCTCATTAAAAACAACATGTCGAGAAGTATAGATCTTGTATTCTTGTTTGTTAATGGGTCTAAATAGAGATATCCTTTTTGAGAGGAGGCATAGCCAACAAACACACGGCTAAGAAAATGAATCCAGTTTTGATTGAGCATAAGGCCGGAGCCAATGATAGGAAAGACACCCAAGGATTTTAAGATGAGTATGGGTAGGTATTTTGCTGTAATGAGATTCATATGGAGTTTTGTTTTGTAATTTTCGGGTTGGTAAGAGATTGATATTATGAATGGCTGTGTGAAGAGCATGAACCCACAGTCGACGAGGAGCATTAGAATGGATTAAAAGGCTACGAATTGTCTCCAAGATGTGGTGATTCTTTCTTTCAGCTAAGCCATTTTGAGCTGACGTGAAAGGGCATGTGTATTGATGACACATACCCGAGAGTTTGCAAAATTTCTGAAAGTGTTGGTTAATGTATTCTCCTCCCCCATCTGCTCGTAGAATTTTTATATTCTTACTAAATTTCCATTTAATCATATTATGGTATTCCATAAATTTAGAAAAAAACTTCAAATTTCTGAGAGGGGATAAACCCACAGTATTTTGTGTAATCATCTATAAAGGAGACAAAGTAACGAAATCCTTGTAATGACATAGTAGGGGATGGACCCTATACATTAGAATGAACAATTTTAAATGGAACAGATGAAGCAGTTATAGATTTTGGAAATAATAACCTATGACTTTTTGTAAGATTACAAGTATTAAAAGAATTTGTAGTAATATTGGAACATATATTTGAATGTAACCGAGCAAGACAATTCAATTTGCGTGTGTCTGGATGATCGAGACGGCGATGCCAAAGATCCAAAACGATTTGAATAGAGAGTAAAGCAAGCGTAGACGGCAAAGTAGATGAAGAAATGGGGTAGAGTCCATTATGACATGGTCCCTTAAGTAGAACCCGTTTGGTCTTCCAATTCTGAATTTGATAACCCCGTGAGGAAAATGAAACTATATAAGAATTGTCATGCGTTAGGTGATGGACTGATAATAGGTTAAATGATAAGTTAGGAACATGATGAAGATTGTTGAGTTGAAGACTACTTGAGGGTGTAGGAAGAAGCTCTTTATCCGTATGCTGTATTGGTAGGTGATGGCCATTTCCTAACGTGACTTGGGAATTGCCATTCTCAGGTTCTGTTGATGAGAATTGAGAAGGATCCAAAGTTAAATGCGTAGAAGCCCCACTGTCTAGAAACCAATCTATTTGACGAGATGGTTCAGTCGGGCTGAAGAAAGCTTGCTTGGATGGATTTTCTTGATATGTGGGATCATGACGATACCAACATTTCAGAGCTGAGTGACCTTGCTTTGTACATATTTGACATATGATACTTCTATTTGACTATCTTTCATTTCAATTGAATTTAGTAGATGATCGCGTATTAAGGGTGTATTGGCGACCACGAGGAGAATAATTTCGACCACGTTCACGGCCACGGCTAGCCGCAAGAGCGGCCAGATTTTCAGATATGTGAAGAGATTGAAGTTCTTTGGATGTTTCTTGAGCAAGGTTCACTTCTTCACTACACAGAAGTGTGTAAAGATCATCAAGAGTTTATGGTTGTAAATTTGTGCGAATAGCTGTTTTAAAGGCTTGGTATGTCGCAGGTAGACCATTTAACGTGTATAGAATGACATCTTCTGGATTGATGATGCTTCCGACAGCAGAAATTGCGTTAACCTTTGATTTCACAGCAAGTAAATAATGTGACATAGATTGTTCACCTTTGGAGAGATGGTGAAGTTCATTCTTTAATTGAATGGTGCGAGATCTGGTAGACGCTTGTAGCCGATGAGCTAAAGTAGCTCATATATCAGCACAATGATTCAAGGAAAGAACATAGGGTAAAATAGACAACAAGATTTTGATCAAGAAGGTTCCAGACATCGGGGGAGGAGTCGGAGGTATTAGTTTGTGGTGGAGTTTTGTATGAGCCATCAAAAAACCCTTTAAAGCCATTTACAACGAATATTTTCTCTACTTGTGATTGCCATAAGGGATAATTATCAGAAGTTGGGGAAGTAGAAACAAGATTCTTGATATTGCTAAGAACAAACTTCAGTTGGGGCGGAATATTGATAGGATGAATAGGATTTAGCGAATATATGTCTAGTGAAGAAGTGGATGATCCAGCCATGCTAAATCAGAGAAAGAAAGCAAGATAACAAAAAAGAAGGAAGAAGGAAGACTTAGAACGAAAGAAAGAAGAAGAGAAAAAAAAAACACTTATATGTGCTCTGATACCATGAAGACTCGCATAGACTAAAGCTCACGACCATCCATGGTAAAGAAACAAACAAGAACGAAATGTATTTCTATATGTTAACATTAGATACACGTTAGTATATTTAGAGACAAGTAGTAGTAGTTATGCTTGCAGTACAATATAATTATCTAGATCCTCTTTTGACTTAGTCATATTGGTTAACAGAATCTAACTTCTACGTTAATATCAGTAAACTGAATGGACTTGGAACTTAATACATCATCAGAAAATCCATTTCATCAAGCATAAATCTTGATTTATTTAACTTGAAAGCTTTTGGAATTAAATTTAGGACCATCCAAATTCTTATTGTAGCAAACTTATTGTCGAATTGAATGGCAAGTCTAACGACATCATAAGTGATTCAATATGAGTCCAAATCAAGCACTTGAAGTGTGGTTGAAAATTTTGTGACATTAATTGAGGGACCAATAATTAGTAAATCTAATATGTTTAAAGTCAAATTGAGTGTCTCGATAAGAGAAATTATACAAGCCTAAAATTAGTCAGTTCCAAGATCATAAAAGCACTTAAATGTTGGTAGAAAGGCATATGATTTAAAAAATCAATAAGGATCGTTTGCTGGAGTGTTTTGAGATTTTGACCAAAATTATTACTATTGTTGCCTGGTTTTTCTCCCCTGAACAACATCGTCCTACCATCATTGTCTAATTATGGTCCCTTGATCACTTTCGCCCTACTACAATCCTTACCATCATCACTCGACTAGCATCTCTTACTGACTTTATTGTCAACTGTCACGAACAACGTCGACACACACCATAGCTTCTCTCCCTGGCTTTACTAACATGATTTGAATTGTTTGGTAGATAATTACAAATTAAAGGCCATAAATCATACCTTGCTAATATAAGCTTAGCATTATTTTTTGAGCTCTTAGAGCTTCTTTCTGCAGGGATAGATTTCAAATTGAAGAAGTGATGCGGTGTAGTCAAATGTTAAAGCGGGAGCTGGCTCATATTACCGCCACTTCTCCTTTATGTTTTTCTTCCACTACGTACCTTTTTCGATTTTACCTTTCTTGCCATTAGTTACAGCCATATGACAATATCTTGCTTTACTATTATTTGCAATCTGATAGCCCTATATGAATATATATATATATATATATATATATATATATGAAAGGAAGTATTGAAGAAACATATAGAAGAAGTATTAATTCTAATTTCTCTGTGTTTTCCTTGTATTCCTCGACAGCTTTGTTTTCTGCAGGTTTCTCCGATCTGGTACTACACCAAATTTGTATCAGAACAATCTGCATCAGCGCCCTCCTTAACAAAAAATGTACGTAGTGGAAGAAAAACATAAAGGAGAAGTGGCGGAAATATGAGCCAGCTCCCGCCTTAACGTGTGATTGCATCGCTTCAACTCCCTTCGATTGCAGAAACTTCATGGTCCTCTGAATGTTCGGGCCTATAAGCTCATCTGGAGGATAGTAGGGGGAAATATCAGTGACATTGAAGGTGGTTGAGGTTTGGAGGTAATCCGGGAGCTCGATGACATATGTGTTATCATTGATGCGTTTGAGAACAGTGACATAACCGAACTTTCATGGGCTTAATTTGAAATAGGTGCAACAGGGAAACACTCCTTTCTAAGGCGAACCATGACGAGCTCCTCTGGCTGAAAAACCTTTTGTCGTATGTGCAAATCAGCAACTTCTTTATAGGTGGCATTTGAGGCAGTTAGTTGAGCTTGGACCTCATTCAAAACTGTTTGGTACTGTTATGTTAATTGAGCTATAGTCTTATTTGAACATTTTGGAAGAACGACAATGTCGAATATATGATTCAGACTCCTGGTGTAGACGATGCCAAATGGACACTTTCCAGTAGATCCATTGGTCATTGAGTTATATGCAAACTCGGCTTGGCCTAGGACTTCTTCTCACTACTTTGGATGGCTTTGTACTAGGCACTGAAGCAAGTTGCCCAGTGTGCGATTAACCACTTCAGTCTGACCATCAGATTGAGGATGATATGCTGAACTAAGGTTGATAGCCGTTTGGAGACATTTCCACAATTCCCTCCAAAAATGACTTATGAATTTAACGTTTCGGTCAGAGGTGATACTATGGGGAAGTCCATGTAGCCGAACAACTTCTTGAAAGAATAGGTGTGCAACATTAACAACATCAAAGGTTTTTTTGCAAGCAACAAAATGTGTCATCTTAGAAAACTGATCTACCACCACCATAATATAATCCGCTCCTTTTTTGGTTCTAGGTAGGCCCAATACAAAATCAAAACTAATGTCTTCCCATATGGATTCCAGCACTGGCAACGGAGTATACAATCTCCTTTATATTCCTGACAAATGGGGCATTGCTCAACAAAATGAGACACATCTCTATGCAACCGAGGACAAAAAACCCGTTCTTGTAGTTATTTTAAGGTCTTTTCACGTCCCAAATGGGCCGCCAAGCCACCACTGTGAGTTTCTTGGATGAGATGCTGTCTCCATGATGATTCAGGCATGCACAGTGAATTCCCCTTGAACAAATATCTATGCCAAAGTGAGTGATCTGTTGTAGGTTGTCCTGAGGTGCATTGTTGCCAAATGCCAGCAAAATCTGGATCAGTGGAATACAATTCCTTAAAACATTCCATCCCAACTATTTCGGTTTGCAATTGAGTTAGGAGTGTCGTTCTTCGGCTAAGGGCATCAACTACGCAATTTTGACTTCCCGATTTGTGCTTTAAAACAAAGGTAAACTTTTGTAGGAATAAGACCCACCGAGCATGCATCCGGTTGATGTCCTAACTATTTTTCACTTAAGTATTCAATTGGTTTGCCCTGTTGTGACATAACTGCTCCAACTCCTACAACAGAGGCGTCTGAGTCTACCAGGAACGGTAATTCAAAATTTGGCTAGGTAAGGATATGTGCAGAACTCAGAGCGTCCTTGATTTCTTCCCAACTACACTGCCTTTCATCGTTACATGAGAATTATTTCTCTTTTAAGCAGTCTGTTATCAACGCCATAACGATGTTGAACCCACAAATGAATCGCCTATAAAAAATCGCAAGGCCATGGAAATTTCAGATGTCTAAAAGAGAACATGGGTTGGGCCACTTGCGGACAACTTTCACCTTACTAGGATCGGTGGTTATTTCTGATGCAATTATAATAAAACCTAGAAAGTACAGGTGAACAGAAGAAAACTCACATTTGGCTCTATTCAAATAGAGCTGATGAGCTTGCAAGGTTTGTAATACCAATCGGAGGTGTTGCAGGTGTTCTGGAAGTGACTTGCTATAAACTAAGATATCATCAAAATAAACAACGCATAACTTATTTAGATAATCTTTAAGTGACTCATGAAGGTAGCAGGGGCATTACAAAGCCCGAACGGCATAAAGAGTCAAGGAATTATTTTGGCCCTTTTCTCTTTTTTTTTCTAGTGATGCTTCTTGCTTAGCTTGCAGTACTATCTAACTAGTGTTAGCTTGGTCATCAATAAATATCTTAGTCTCTTGTTGGATGATTGCTTTTACAGTTGACTGCTTTTACCATTTAATCTCAAGCAATCTAACTTCATTTCAAGATCTGCTCAAAGTCATTCAATTTGATCTCGAAGCAAGCCAAATTTGGTTAAGATTTGGCTCAATCAGATCTTATTTGATCTCAATTCGACGCAGCCATGACTCATTAACTTTGAACTGACGCCTGAGTATGATTCAAGCAAAGAATTAATCCAATCTTAATTCATTTTCAATCATCTATGATAAATTAGTAGTCCAACATACATTCTTATCCTCATACATAGTAATATAGATTCATATACATGCATACATTTATGTGTGTAAGCATTTATATACAAATATATAAATGCTATTCATCTTTTAAGTTGATCTCAAGTGAACTTAATCCAATCCAAGCTTAGCTCAAAATTGGCTCGAAGTTCAGATAAAACTAAAAAGTTTGGCTCCTGTCTCAGCTCTCTTTTTTGACTTGATTCAAGCTTAATCTGAATCACAAAATTATTTAATCTCCAAGCAATTTTTGATCTTCTAATTTAAATCAGCCCTATCTGTAATAGACTTGGGATGTGAATTTGATTGAGATGCATGTATGTTAAAATTAAAGATCGCCCTTATTCGATATAAACTTTATAAAAAAAATTGGTTTGCATGCTAATGTGACAGCTTGCTTCCTCTGAAGTTACCCTGTGGGTTTCAATTTGCGTTAAAAATTACAGAAACTAAAATGTTACTTTGTTCGCAAGTCAGCACTAATATTTTCTAGCCAAGCTACTACATCCCTGATGGTGGGCCTCTTAAGGGGGTTTTCATTTACACACATGCAAGCTATTTCAAGAACCTTCAGCATTTGCTCATCAAACCCCTTGCCTTTTAGCTGGAGATCAAAGATCTGATCTTGCCTCCCTTGATATCTCATTTGTTTTACCCAAGCCACAAGTTCTGCAGACTCCTTTGGCTTGAACAGCTCAACTGGACGTCTTCCAGTGAGTAGCTCTAAGAGTACAACACCGAAGCTGTAGATGTCCCCTCTCAATGTGGCAACCCAGGTTTGTCCATACTCTGGGGGAATGTAGCCAAGAGTGCCAACTAACTCTGTGGTCACATGTGTGTTGTAAGGGAGGATCAAGCGAGATAAGCCAAAATCTGCAACATGGGCTTCAAAGTGCTCATCAAGAAGAATATTACTGGACTTGATATCTCTGTGAACAATATGGGGTTGGCAAGTCTCATGGATATAGCATATGCCCTGGCTTGTTCCACATGCAATCTTTAGCCTTGTTGGCCAATCTAGTATCAAACCACTATTTGCCATCTCATGCAGCCAGTAGTCGAGGCTACTATTCTCCATATATGAATAGATCAGTAACCATGAGCTTCCATGCATACAGTAACCTTGCAGGGACACTAGATTTTTGTGTTGGGCCCTTGAAAGAGCCTCAACCTCTGCTCTGAATTCCCTTTCCATGAGGCACATCTCACTGGACAATCTCTTGATAGCAAGCTTGGAGCCATCTGGCGCAGTAGCCTTGTAAACCATCCCAAAGCCACCAGAGCCAATTATGTTTTCTTGGTCAAAGTTACTAGTAGCCTTCAAGATGTCAGACATCGAAAGGTTCTTTTTGGCCAAGTCTCCATGATTTTGCACCATAACCAAGATGGAGTCACCAGATGGAACATTGGGAAACGAGCTTACAGAGGTTGCAATAAACTTTACCTTATTAGTACGAGCATACTTTCTTTGCTGAGCTTTCACTATATAAAGTATGGTGAAAGCAGACATGATTAGGATGAAAGCCCCACCAAAACAGATAGCAAATGCCATGCCAATTAGGACCTTTTTGTTCATATGTTTTGTTGTGCGAGGATTTTCATTTCCTGAATGGTTGGAGCAATGCTTCAGGAGAATTGCACCACATAGTCTAGGATTTCCTTCATAGCTGGAGGGTGGAAATAAATCAAACTGACCACCGGATGGTATTGGCCCCTCTAAATTATTGTTAGCCACATTGAATAACGCCAGGAAGTGTAGGTTGTTCAGCGTGGAAGGGATTTCTCCATTGAGATGGTTTGTTGAGAGGTCCAGTTTTTCCAAGTTGGTGAGGTTGCAAAGTTCCACTGGAATGTTTCCTGAGAAATTGTTGTGGCTAAGGTCGAGAACATGAAGATTCTTGAGCTGGCCAATTTGTGGAAGTATCATGCCGTGGAGAGTATTGTTTTGAAGGTATATTGCCGGTGGAAGCTCTGTCAGTTGATTGTATTGCAGACCTGATCCATTAACAGGCTTGATAAAGATTGGAAATTGTAGAATACTTTGATTTATTCGGGATTCAAAATGATCCATCGTCAGGGCATGCAGTCCTGTGATTTCTGGTGGGATTTCTCCTGAGAGAAGGTTCCCAGACAGGTCAAGATAGAAGAGGTAAGGCAAAGAGCCCAACCAAGTAGGAACTGGACCTGTGAGTTGATTCTCTGATAAGTCCAGGGCCAAGAGGTTGCTGAGTTTGGATAACCAGAGGGGTACTTGGCCGGTCAGCTGGCAACCACCCAGACCCAGGACTTGAAGATTCTGGAAATACCTGTCTGCCCATTCAAAATTTGTCGGTATGGCTTCTTTATTGAAGTTCTTTGAGAGGATCATGGCTGTTAGGTTCTTGCAATCTTTGAGGATCTGGAGTGCAGTTGTGATGTTTTTGAGCCCATCAGCAGAGAGAGAAAGGTATGTCAGGGCTTGCAGCTCGACCATTGCTGGAGCTATCTCTCCTTCCAGTGAATTCTTAGCCAAACGTAGTGCTTTAAGAGACTTCAATGAGTACAAGCTTGCTGGTATATCTCCAGTGAACTTATTATTCCCTAAATCAAGCATGTTAAGATTGGAGAGGCTGGAAAAGTTAACTGCAGCCAATTCACCACTGAGGTTGTTAAATCTGAGATTCAGAATCTTAAGCTTGGTGCAGTTTGCTATTTCTGGAGGTATTTCACCTCTTAGTTGGTTCCCATTTAAGAGCAGCTGCTCTAGGGATGGCATCTGGCTGATTGAAGCTGGAAGCTCACCACTTAGCTGATTGTTGCTAAGCTCGAGAAATGACAGATTTGTGAGTTTGGTAATAATTGTTCCATCAATATTCCCTGAGAGCTGGTTGAAAGGCAAGGATAGGAGATTCATGGAGGTCATATCAAACAGATCTTCTGGAATTGGCCCTGACAGATTATTGTTACCTGCTTGAAATTCTGTCAGCAGCAAACAACTGCCTAGTCCGGGGGGAATATCAAGACTGAATTGGTTGTGAGACATGTCCATTGTTCTCAGGAGAGGTGATAGGCCACAGATAGAGGAGGGAAATAAGCCAAAGAAACCGTTATTGCTTGCATTTATTGCAGTAAGAAATCCAGCAAGACTTCCCAGAGAAGGAAAAGGGCCTGTGAAAGAGTTGCTTGAAAGGTTAAGCACCTGCAAGGAGAAGTTTCCAACAGGTGACATCGATAATTTCCCGGATAGACGGTTGAAGCTGACATCCAAGACGACAAGGCTTGGGCACAACAGAATTTCAGTAGGGAGGTTTCCTGTGAGCTGATTATATGAGAGGTTTAGTTGAGTGAGATGGGACAGACCTGCAAGAGAACTGGAGAGGCTTCCTCCAAGGCCTTTGGTGGGCAAAGAAATCTCATTAACCAATCCGTTTCCATCACATGAGATTCCTTCCCACTTGCAGCAGTCATCAATTGTAGCCCAAGAACTAAGGCGACTGTTATTAAAGCTGAAGGTAAGATTTGATCGAAATTGGAGTAGAGAGTCCCTCTCTGAAGGTGAGCAGCTCTCATGAGGAATAGGAAATAATAGCAGGACGAGGAGGATAAGGTAGGAGAGAACGAAGACATGAAGGCTACTCTTGCTGCTATTTGGCTGTTCCAGATAGCTAAACAAGATCATGCTTTTTTACCTCTTTTGAAAGCTGCTTGCACATAAAAAGATGATGGTATGAATAAGGTCTTCTCTCCCTCTTCCTCGCTCTCCCCCAGTTGTTTAAAGTGGTATGTAATTGCTCGTTTGTCTCTCCTACCGTCCTATGAAGGAAATAAGGAAGAATGGAGCCATGCGTTGACATATTGGGAAGGGTGGAGGGAGAATGTCTACAATAGGAATAAAATTAGTAGGATAATATATTTATTTTATCAGCCATTAAGGATTTATATTTTGATAATAAACATATCAATCAAAGATGATTAGAGTCATCCCTCTTGATTCGGAGCTATTATTCTACAATAGGTGTCCGTGCTCAGTACCGAGCTGTACAGAGCACGATACACTTTTGAGGTGTCGTGGCGTATTGTTGTTGGTCCCCGGACGGCCCGGGCTCCACATGGAATAAAAATTCCTTGATTCTTAGCATCGTAGACTTTCTTTGTTTTCTGACATGATTTGTTAATATTGTCTTTTGTCAGCTTGCAAGCAGATGGTGAGGTCTGAAGACAAGCGGAGTTGATTGAAGAGCTGGAAGAGGCCTCTGCTGGGACGCAAGAGCTGCTGAGATTGCGGCCCCATCCTCCCTGGTTAGTGCTCAGCAGGACGCAAGTTCTGTGACCAAGTACGTAATTTCCTGTTGAGTTTCTTTATTTCTTATTTTAAAATAAATAAGCAGTCTTATTTTTTGGTGTTTAGATAATACAAATAAAGTTTTTTTTTTCATTTTTATAACCCTTTACTTTCAAACATATAAAATATAAAAGTAAATGATGCCTACATTATATTAATTTACACCATATTTAATTACTGATGATATTAAAAAATATCAAGTGATAATAGTAATGATTTCTATAATATTTTGTACGAATAATATATTCAAAATCTTACTGTTCGTAAGTTAGAAAATGGTTTTAGAATTATTTAGTTGCTTTATGAACTATTCTTATATGCTTATTGAATTGCAATTAGAAAATTACACATATAAGAATATTAGCAGAATTATTTTAATGTTTTACTAATTCATTTTTAATCTTGATTATAATTGCTAAAATATACCAAGATCATTAAAAATAATTTTGCTAAATTATATTACTTCCTCGATAAATTTCTCATAACACATCAAATATTATCTGTAATAATTTATTTTTAATAAATGTTAGATTTATTGCATTAAGAGATTTAAATTGATATCTTTTATTTTAATTGGTAAATTATAGTAATTTGGTTGTTGTAGTAGTATGAACAGAGTCGGTATTAACATTTGCTTAATTGTTACGGTAGCTGAGGAATGGAAAATGGTCTGCATGTCGACACAGCTAATGCTTGAAATTTCGGGGAAGATCTCACATTTGACTTTAATAAAAATGTGAAGGAAGAAAAGTATTTTCAAGAGAAAAGGTTAGTAGATTTGTTTTTGTCAAATAGTATGAAGCACGTAGAAAAATTGTACAAGAGAACCAACCAAATTGGACTATTTACCTCTAAAGGATTTCTTTAGTAAGGGTTAGTTCAACAAAACAAAAATAAGGAAATATTTATGGTGGGGAAACCAAGACCTTTATTAGGAGGATAGGGCCCAATGTTTGTTGGGAGCTTATGTAGCTCATTTTGATCTATTTGGGAGCTTTTTTTAATTTATTTTTTTTATTGGTTGGGAGTTTTGATTATCGACTAAGGCTTCGTTTGGGATAGCTTCTTTGTTGTTTTCTAAAATAATTTTCTATTACAAAAATTTCTTGAATTGAAAATTTTTGTATTAAAAAATTATTTTATAAAGTAGCCAAAAAGTTGTCCCAAATGAAGCCTAAGAGGTCTTAGGGTCAAAGCTTACGTATCTGATATGTGTGTGGATTTACATTAATTGGCTTAAATATACCAAAAATAATAATATACAAATAATAATTTATATCATAGAATTTCAGTAAGTCGTAATTGACCCGTAGAGCTGTCCAAATAATAATCCTATAGAGCTGTCAAAAACGGGTCACGGGTCGGGTTCGGGTCCAACCCGAAATTGACCCGTCACTGTTCAACCCGACTCGAACCCGACCCACTTTTACAAACAGGTCGGTTTTCCGAACCCGAACCCGACCTGCTTCGGGTTCGGGTCAACCCGAACCCGACCCGTTTCGGGTATATTTCATTAAAATTTTTTATTTAATTTAATTTATTTAAATCTAAATCAAATTAAGGTAAGATTTACTTCAATTAATTTAAAATAAATCAAGATTAATTTAATTTGTGCAACAATGTTTATAGTTTTTTGAAATATCATTTACTTATTTCATAAAAATCCTTTAAAATCCTCCTAAATTAATTAAAATCAGGTCAAACCGGGTTGATTTCGGGTTTCTGGGTCAACCCGAACCTGACCCGGTTTTACAAACGGGTCGAAATTCCTAACCGGAACCCGAACCCGAACCCGAAATTTTCGGGTCGGGTTCGGGTCGGGTCAAATATTGACAGCTCTAGTCTCATATCATTTATCATTTATTGGTGGATTATATTATTGTATATGGTTGTGATTGATGTTTTAGTTTTGTAAATAGATAATATTTAGATGTTGTATGTAATTGCTCTAACTTAAAAAATTAAAATTTATTTAAATATATTTAAATACACATTGCATAAGGTATTTGATATTTTGGTAAAGCAGGGGCGGAACCCCTTTGTGGCTAGGGGGGCAACGCTAATTTTTTTTTCATTATACTATTATTTAGGTAATTTTTAGTCTTTATTATAATGGTTTTTAGGCAATTGCCCCCCCTAAAAATGTTAAAATATTATGGTCTTTAGGTAATTGCCCCCAATATAATTAAATACATTATGTATATATGTTATTGTTAGAGAATGATGAACTAAATATAAAGAGAAATAGTAAATTAAAATTTGTTTCGAGGGCGCTGCCCTTTTGGACCCCCGACATATATACGAATAGTTACTTATAAATTTGCCCCCTTGAAAATTATGAGCGGTTTCGCCCCTAGGTTAAAGTTGCGGAGTTGCAAGAACAACATTAATTCTTCTTGAATTTTTATTCAATGGTGATGTGTAATAAGACTTGCTGCTTGTGAGGTTTGACGATGGCCTCTTTCTCTCCCTACACCATTGCGTACAATTTTAGGAGCTTAATTTATCTATTTTTATATATATTTAGTGGAACTGAATTTGGTGAAAAAAAGATGTTGATCAAAATATTTTCTGGGATAAAACAAAATATTTTGAGATTTATGCAATATGATTTTTGATAGATTATTTATTGTTTTGCTGATTTTAAAATAAATTTAAAGAATTTGAGTTAGAAAATTGAATGAATTTTTTGTTTGTCTGAATTTATCATTTATGATCATTTCATGTGACGTTTGTATAAACTTTTTAGGTAATTTTGTAACCTTGTTGAAAAATTTTAGCTTTTATACTAGAAAGTTGTTTTAATAAACAATAAAAAAGTCGTCCTAAATGAAGCCTAAGTTGAGTTGCATAAATTGATAGAGTTGAAAAAGTTTTTTTTTTATTATTATTTTATTTTTTGTCTATTTATCTGCTATTTTATTATTAGTCATGGATAAAATTTTGAAAATAAAATAATATTCCTTTGAACAATTATCTCTTAGTAGAAAATAGCCATCAAGAAGAAGTTTGAAGTTTTTAAAAAAGAAGGCATTGGGGCTTGTTTGGATGTTCTTTGACTGTTCTTTGTGGACAATTTAAAACATAGAATTATCGCTCGAATGAACAAGCATGTGTAGATTGGACTATATAAAACATAGAATTACGCTCAATGCACAGTATATTGTGTGATGTGACGGTTTTTTATTGACATTCGAATACATTTGACATCCGCACGTAATCGTAATAATCTCTCCGTGTTGGAAAGTAAAATGCATTACATCATCTGGGGAAGCTTCAATAATATTATGAAGCAGATCCTGTTTTAGTGCAGAGGTTCAGTGGAGGGAGGGCCAGCCTTGTCGTTTATTGGAAATCAATTGAGAAGATCAAGTTGCAGAATTGGGGGCCTTTTTACTAAAGGTTGATTGTGATCTTCAACAATTTTAAATGGGTGATACTACATTCAGCCGAATTTAGCCGGCAATTTTTTTTTTTTGGGAAAAAGATGGGGCTGCAAATTATGTTTTCTTTTTTAGTAAGGAAATTCACAATCATGGAGTTATTTTCATGATTTTTTTTTTTAAGTTTAAACTAGTAGAGGTAAACATTCTAATATGTTTGTTACCTGCTAAAAAATTCACGATAATAGCGTAAGAGAGTTTTGTGTCTTGATTTTGCAGGAAATTATATATAAATAGATAAATGAAAAGAGCATAGGAGACATCAGAGTTATTACATGAAACATTTAAGAGAGAGAAAAATCACAAGCTATGAACTAATTGAAATTTTTTCTCTTTGTGACTGTTAATTAGAAAGATTTGCCTGTTCCCCATGTGGAGAGTGCGAGATTACAGGAGCATTAGTGGCTATTAGTAAATATGGTAGAGTTCGTTGTGGATGAGAGGCATTCAGACTGTTGTGGCCAAGTGATTGTTTGCTTGATGGTATTGGTCAAGTGGTGATCTGATGGCAATGTTCTAGTGATGGTGATTCAATGATAATTGTCTGATATTAGTGATAAGATGGTCTCAGGGTGGTGGTCGAGCGGTTGTAGTGAGGCGAAGCATTGAGATTCTACCTTTGAGCTCTCTTAAATCTCAAGTCAAGAGTTTCTTTCATATATAGAGCGACGGACTATCTATATATTTTAAAAATGGCATACCTCGTGAATATAGCTAAAATATGGAACACTTTATTGAACAATTCGTATTAATTTCTTTAAGTGTAGTTTTAATGATATCAAAATTAAGTGATATTGAGCTTGATAGATTTCCTTTGTTCAGAAACTCAATAAATTTATAAGCCTATAAAATCCAAATATCATTTGTTCATCCAATCAATATCCTAAAATTTTAAATTATAAAATAAGTGTTTGATCATTTTTTATTTTATTGGGTTTGTATTGTTAAGCCAATTAATTTGACTATAAATTTGGCGAAATTGGAGTTCGGATGATCCACAATTTAATTTAATTTTTTTTCTTATTCAACTATGTACCAATCAATCTGATTTTTCCCTCTTACGTATAAGGAGGATGAAAAGTCCAGTCAATTATGAAGAAATAAAGAGCAAAATAAAGCAAGGTAAAGTTTGCTTAGCCTTGCTTGCAACCTGTTGAAAGGATTCTGATCATCTCCAATTAACTTGATAATTTAGAGAGATAAATTTGACAAATCTCAATTATTTGATTAATTTATGATGATTAATATTTTCTTTTCAAAATTAAAATAATTTAAAAATAATTATTATTAACATCACTTATTCAAAATAAATTAAATTATTGAGATTAATAATTTCTCTCATGTTGAAAGTTGGCCTTGTGATGTAATGATTTGACCTGAACGCCTTTCATTAATTTTTACAGGACTGTTAATACTCTATCATTTGATAATATAGCTTCATCTGAAGAGTTGGTAATGATCTGGTTGTGACCTCTTCTTTCATGTTCTTGAAGGACAATTAAAGACTTCGTTTCTGACGGTTTTCTTAATATTTCTTAAAGCAGTTTTCTAGTTAAAAAAAATTTAATTTTTGAACTATAAAGCTTCTTTAAGCAGTAAAAAAACCGTCCCAAACGAAGTCTAGAAATCGTTTGGGACTGTTTTTTTTGTTGCTTCTTAAAGTAACTTTCTAATAAAAAACTTCAATTTTTGTTAAAGTAATAAAAAAGTTGCCCCAAATGAATCCTAAGGCTTCGTTTGGGACGGCTTTTTTAATGCTTTCTAAAACGGAGTTTTAGTACAACTTTTTTTATTTTTGTACTAAAACTCCGCTTTAGAAAGCAATAAAAAAGCCGTCCCAAACGAAGCCTAAGTCTTCATTTGGGACGGCTTTGTCATTGCTCTTTAAAATAATTTTTTAGCAACTAGAAAGCTGCTTTAAAAGCATTAAAAAAAACCGTCCCAAATGAAGCCTAAATATATCATAATATAGATTTTTCATGCAACAAATATCTCGATGATGACTGATCAAAATTTTGATCATCACATTGATGTAAACAATTCTATGAAAATTTATTTATCTTTGATTCGAAGTCATAAAAAAATAGCAATATTGGTTCCATCTTTTTCACTTCATGATTTCTTCTCTTTGAAATGAGGATCTTATTGCAAATAATTTACAAAATAGTGATCGTTTTGAGAAGACACCTAAGGAATACTTTTCTGCTACAATAATCAAATGGCATCAAATCTATGAATTTGGTCAATAATGGATAGATTCGATGAAAAAGTTTGAATTTTCTTAACTTTCTAAATATTGTAATCATATTTGACTATTATGATAATTATCTATTTAATATTTTCTTAAGTCAAATATGATGAAATAGAGAAGGAAAAAAGATTTGTTTTTCTTAATATAAAGAGTCACCTATTATGTTTTTTTGAATAATTAGATCTTGTGCTTCATTTGCGGCATTTGGATTAATCTAAGGGTTTTTGATATTTCTGGGATAAAATCCAATCTATATTATATTGGTTTAATATAATCTAGTTAGATCTTGAGTCATAATTGATATTTGTATTACA